AAAACCATTGATTTGTCCAAGTTTTATCCAAGAAATGTCCAGTGTGTCCCTATTTTTAACCAATCTGATCCCTGCCAACAGTAAAGAGAGTCATAAATTGGAATTTGTTTAGGTAAAAATCTGCTTAAAAACGACCAAAACACAAAGAAAATGTGACTATACTGACTCACATGTTAGTCCTGAATCAATCAATCAATCAGACTTAATAATAAAGCGCTTTTCATACAAAAATGTAAAAAAAAAAAGTGCTTTACAGTGATTAAAAACAACTCCACATTTCCTTCCACCCACCAACCCAACCCCATAGTTCCCCGACTCCACACAACCAAACAACCCAGACACACATGCACTAACATGCTAAAATACATAAAACTACCTATAGTAAAATGTGAGGCTGAATATAGGTGAACCAGTTGGGAAACCACCACAGAGGAATGGTCTGTGTGTAACAATTTTCCTTAATTACGCACTCGTTTCACAATTTTATTAGTACCAACCACCAAAATTTAGAGATTCTGGTCACCCTATTCTATGGCCATGTCACTGCTCTGCCTGGAATGTTCCACAATATGACTTTAAACAGCTCTACTGTACATTTATTAAATTACAAGTGGTTTTATAGCTCAAAAATACCTAGAAAAACAGGTATTCTGCTGTGAGTGTGGGCGCCTCTTCACAGATCTGACCTGTAACTCGGTCTGGTTTGGTTTCCATGAAGATAGAAAGGTTTAACACCATACTGTGAAACCTTCCAGACAAAGCAATAACGTCTCCATGGAGAAAAGTGTTTGACGGACCCTCCGCGGGAAAAGTTACACCTTTAAATTTACGGTTCAGAAGTCAACGGTGCACTAGACTATTCTAGTTCAATTTACCGGTGTTTTATTGCTCAAAAATACCCCGAAAAACCTGCATTCTTACTGTGAGTGGGCTTGCCTCTCCACAAATCTAACCTGTAACTTGCTTGTCTCCATGGAGATAGATAAATACATAGAATCAACCACTTGATTCAACAACTCTTTGGCAAGTCCAGGAACATTTTAGATTAAAACACCTCAGCCAGTTCATTTTTTTGTTTCCTGATCCATTAGCATTAGTCTGCAAAAATCACTAATAATGAATAATCAAGAGCGGAGTCGTGTTGTGTTTTGTTTCATTCACACATGTTTAACGCACAAATCCCGCATATTTAGGCTCTCACAAACAGAAAACACCCTCTTCCACTGTACAATAAGTACTCCACTGTGTTTTTGAACTCTTTTTAATAATTTCAGTGGCATTTCCAATCTCTACTGAACTAAAAGTAGCTACTAACTTCAAAACTACCATTTCACGACATCACAAGGTGGAACAGAGCGTTTTGAGCTTTTAGATATAGATAGATTAATCACAAAGGATTAATCAAACATGTGTGAATGAAACAAAACACAACTCCAGGTCTGTTATTTCAACACTTCCCCGTGACTTTTTCATGACCAAAAGTGAAGTTTCCATGACTTTACGGCACCTACATGTGTAGAATTGATCAGACTTTTAGGGCTAAATATGAAATGTTAACCCTTTCCACTCACCTTATGGTTTGATATTATAGTTTTTTAACATTCAAAATACTGTCAGTGCATTTATTGTCATCTCTTTTAAACAAAAAGCACATATGTTTGGAAATAATCATAATAACCTAATGATAAATTAACAGAACGCTGTACTTGCGTGAAAGAGATGCTAAAATTCCATGACTTTTCCAGGCCTAGAAAATTACTATTTCAATTTCCATGATTTTTCCGAAAGGAGAAGCTCTCGATTTACTGGTCAATCTACGTTCCTATCCTTACCTATGTTCATGAGCTCTGGGTAATGACCGAAAGGACAAGATCGCGGATACAAGCGGCCAAAATGAGTTTGCTCCACAGGATGGTTGGGCGCTCCCTTAGAGATAGGGTGAGGAGCTCAGTCACACAGGAGGAGCTTGGAGTAGAGCCGCTGCTCCTCCACGTAGAGAGGAGCCAGCTGAGGTGGCTCGGACATCTGTTTCGGATGCCTCCTGGACGCCTCCCTCGGGAGGTGTTCCGGGCACGTCCCACCAGGAGGAGGCCCCGGGAAAGACCTAGGACACGCTGGAGGGACTATGTCTCTCGGCTGGCCTGGGAACGTCTCGGGATCCCCCTGGAAGAGCTGGAGGACGTGTATGTGGAGAGGGAAGTCTGGGAGGCCCTCCTCAGACTGTTGCCCCGCGACCCGACCCCGGATAAACGGAAGAAAATGGATGGATGGATGATTTTTCCAGGATTTCCATGACCGCGGGAACCTTAAAATTAATCAAAAAATTACATAACAATGGGCAGAGATTGAGAATTCTGCGTCCAATGTCTGTGGATGCATAGAAAAAGCTTATTAACGTCGCCATGGAGCCAAGCAAATGACTTACCCTCTATCAAAAAAAGTTATGTAGTTCAACTTTAACTTTCAGACATCAATTTATAAAACATGAAATACCAATAACAAAGTGTCGGAGTGTATTATAAAAACCCTGAATAAAGCATATTTTTCACTTTCCATTTTAGCCCATGCAGCTAATACATAACCAGGTGCAGGTTTGCATATTTCCCTTGTCTCTGCCAACTTTCAGAGAGAATATCTTGCAGTTTGGCCTGTATCCAGAAGATGCCATGCTTCTCTGGTCAGACTTAGAATACAGCTTTTCTTCTAGGAGCTGTTCCGCCTCTGCTCTGTCACATTCCTTGTTCAGATCCAGCAGTCAGAATCGAAAAGTCTCTGGTGTGCGTTAACCAACTTTTGAAATTTTTTATTCATTTGAAAAATAGAGAAAATACAGTTGCAATAAGTCCTTGTCTCGTTGAAATGATACAGTATGTAGGTGGTATTCGTGATTAATATTTCAAGGTATGGCATTAAGCCTTTCTATCTTCATGGAGACCAAACCGGGCAAAGTTACAGCTACAGGTCAGAGCTGTGGAGAGGCAATACTCAGAACGCCTGTTTTTCTAGGTATTTTTTGAGCAATAAAAGTCACAAATTTTTGCGAAGTCAATAGACATTATTCGTAAATCACAAAGTAAAGGTGGATTTGACCATAATTGAGGATATTTTATTGTTGACTGAGTGATCGTGTCTCTCTGAACAATTAGTTTTACTCAAGTTTTAAACAATGAAAAACAGTAATTGATCAGCAATGATAGGATCCATAAGTCGCCTATTTGGACATTAAATGTAGACCGTTTCTTTTTCTTTTCAACATTCAGTTGAACCAGCAAAACTGGAACAAAATAGTCAATAAAATAATTACAAAAAAATTTGAAATGATACAAAACATGTCTTAATATTTCAACATTTCTAATGAGATAGGTGGATATGTCTGCATTTTTGTAGCATATTCTAGTCCGGGGTGTGGGAGGAGAACACAGCAGTAGATCAGATGCAGCATTCAGTCTGTTTCTGCGCTTTGTCTGCATTTTTGTGAGCACAGAAAATCACCATACACATGTATGTAGTAGTGAAAGGCATAACCATAGAAACACTGACCCTCATGTGTCAGAACTGTATATTGCAGACCTACATGCAGATCGTGACAAGGCGATCCAAAAAAATCTCTTGCAACCAATCCTAGTCTTTGGGAAACATTGGTTTAGCCCATCCACACTAGTACGTATTGTGGATGCAGTGTTCGTCCACACTAATCTGATGGAAAACGGCTTCAGAGACGGAATGATGTGATGCCTCCAGCTCCCACAAATTCATCTGAGTACGGGTCTGATTTGACACTAAGAGCTCTAGTTGCGTCCTTATTAGACCACGTCACTGTGACTTGCGCCTTCCTGATTCACTGGGTTCGTGACAACGTCATCTGACGCTATTATTGAAAACAGTTTAAACAAATCAAAGACAAACGAGAAATATTCAATAACAACTGAACCTCGTCGTAGATCCATGAAAATACTGTTTACCATCTTCCTCTACTCGAAATTGGCTGCTGCAACTTCAGACACGGTGCTCCACTTCTTTGTTTTTACTGCCCACGTGACATTGTGATGTCGTGACACCAGCCTAATCATGTGACTAACATTCCAGGTGGTTTTGCTGGTTTTACTGTGTGGATCATGTCTGGACGCAAATCGTTTCCGATACGGTGATATGGTGATTTGTTTCAGTGTAAACATAACTTTAATGTCATACTGTGGAACGTCTGAAACAGAGCAAAGACATATCCATAGAAACAAGAAGGTGATGGACCCCCAACCGAAATGTTACACCATGCACCTTTAAGTTTCAAAGGTTACTGATGAGTTTTAATGAGCTTGTGGTGAACAAAACTGAACATGTTTGCCTTGTTTGTACTTCTTTTGTGTTCTTTTAAAATATTGCTTTAAATTGGATTTTGTGTAGCGAGAAGAGCAGAGAATGGAGCAAAGAGTGACAAAGGGAACAAAAGGATAAAACAACTCAAAAACTAACCTGACAAGTAAACAAGGTCAGAGCCCGTATCAGTTATAACTCCTCCCTGAAGACAGTCTAATGTGGCTCAGTGCAGTATAAATTCTAGCTTCTCAAACCAGTCGCTTCAGATTGAAAATGACTTTCGGTTGGCAGTTGGAAGGAAAACAAAAACTTTGGGTCTCTTTCTTGACAAATGTGTACTTAAAGGTGCACTGTGAAACTTTTCTAGTCGAGGCTCCGTGGAGGATTCATTTATAGCCCTGCAAATTCCTCTGATCTGGCCAAGATTTTTAAATTTATATCAGGTAATTCATCTTATTTTCAGATTTATTATCTACTCACTGGCTCTGAGACGGCTTAATTCTAGCCTAGAGGTAGATTATTTTAAGAGAACTTGTCAAGTAAAATGATCTGTCCATGCAGCAAGATAATTTCGCTACTCTTAAGTCATTTTCTGCCAGATTTAAGTGTTTATATCTTAAGCCAAACCAAAGTTACATAGTGCACCTTTGAAGATTTTTTTAGATCTGAACAAACTCGACACTTACTCTCCGTTTTTCCGTCTCGTTGGCGCGACAGGGACACGGGCAGCGAGGACATCACCAGGTGGACATCTTCTGTAACAGCAGGAGACATTCTAGTTACACAAAGCACAAAGCGAGACGCAGAAATAATTTAAGTGCTAATAACTTGCTTTATTATTACTTGGTTTGGACCTGTGGTGAGTAGTTATCATATTTTTGCATCACAAGTGGCAACGCAATGGAAAAAAAATCTCTATTATTTCATCAATCCCTGCACTGATAAGATTATTTGAATTAAGAAAGTTGTACATTTCACTTGACAAGTAAAATGGTCTACCAATGGAACAAGATTTAAAATATGAAAATGAATCTTGTTACATTTACGATAAGAAAAAAACACAACTCTTTGCATTTAAAATAAGACATAAAATCTAACTTTGTTTGAATCAGAAACACACACTTGTGGTTGATAATTTTACTTGTCAAGTTGAATCCACTCAAATGATAAGTAAAATAAGTAAAATGTTCTTAATGTAAGTCTTTTTTTAAAACTTATATACATATTGTTTTTTGTTTTGTTTTTTGAAATCATCTTACTAATGCAGAAGACAATTTTCTGAAGATGTAAGAAATGTCTCTACTTTGACACCTGAAATTTTTTTTATTCCGCACTCTTCTCTTTTCTCTTTTAATATAAATTTTTTGATCATTATGTATGTTTTGATTTGTTTGCTTTGTGATTTTAAGGTCTTTGAATTACTTTGTGTATGAATTGTGGCTTCATTTAACAAAATAAAAGTGTGATCATTATTATAACCCATTACAAGCCAAACAGACTTCAGCTGGTTTAAAACTACAGTAATTTCTGGACTATAAGCCGTTACTTTTTTCTCACACTTGGAACCCTGCGGCTTATATAATGATGCGGTCAATATATGGACGGATTATTTGTTTGGCACATTGTCCATTCATTTATACGGTCTATGGTTTGGCAACAGAGCTGATGCCAGCAGTCTGAGTGCAGAAAACACCGCTGTCTGTGTGTGATTAACATGCGCACTAAAACAGTTTATTGCCATGTGATAAAATAAGTTAAGATGCTAAATTAACATGAGTAAGGGGGATACGTTTTACCGACATCCACTCATACCTGATCGATACAACTAACCCCGCCCTGGGAGAGTCTGAAATCTGCTGAAATCCTACAAGACACTGACATGATACAGACAGGACAGTGGCTCTTTCTGCAGGAGACATGAGCAGTAGAGCGACAAGAGACGGGGTTGATGCGCTGATGAAGATGCTCGTTTGACTGTGTTTTGAACACTTATTTTGCGCTTCATACACACACCGTCCTCATGGAAAACACACAAAGAAATGCAGATGATGCAGCTTTTAAGTTAAAGGCGATTGATGCGGCTGTGGAAGAAGGAAACAGAGCTGCTGGGCATCAGTGAGTCGATGGTGAGACGTTGATGACAAAAGCTTTCAGAAGCGATTAAAGCAGACGGCTCGGACTTGAAAACGTTCTTGAAGACGTGGACAACTGCGGCTTATATTCAGGTGAGCGCAGTAGTCCGAAAATTATGGTAGTGTCCAAAATTAAAGAAAATAAGGATGGTACTGTGCAATTTAGACCCGTTTTGGACCTGTTAACATCATGGTTGCTTGGTAACTGTTACGAACTTACCTTTATGCACACAGTCAATAAAACGTTTGGACACACCATCTTATTCAATGTTTTTTTTTTTTGCTTTACTATTTCCACTATTTCTACATATTATATACATACAAAAGACATCACACATATTAAGTTAGATGTGTGGCATTGTGTAGCAAAGAAAAAAACGTGAAATAACTCTAACACTAAATATGTATATTTTATATTCAAAATCTCAATGCCAGCCACCCATAATAATACATTTAATTTATAAATGCCTTTCAAAACACTCAAGGACACTGTACCAGGCAAATTAAAAACATGCTTTGTCCAAAATAATTTAGTTATTATTATTATTATATATAGCAAACTTTTTTTCTTTCCATATGTATTGTATCTTGCTTCATATATTTGAGGTCTAAAATGTAGAAAGTAAAAAAAAAAAATCATTGAATGGGATGTTGTGTCCAAACTTTGGCCTGGTTGTGTAAGTCATCTTTGCTGACCTTGTCCAACCAGGTAAAGTAAGTAAGTAAGTAAAGGTTGTCCCACACCACAGGAGAATTTGCACGATTTTGGCTGCGATTTGCTTCTCCCTGAGTTTGAGGAGGCGTGACCCGACTTTGTGTTTTCGTGTGCGAATTTGTAGCCGCTGCACTCCTCGTGTGTGTGGTGTTACTGTCAGATCGTAACCACCAAATATGAGTAATGCTAAGGCAATAGCTAATAAAACAGAGCATCAGACGGACACAGAGGCATACCAAGTCGGGAAATGGCGAAAATAATGAGAAGACTTTATTACTCACCTCTCGTTAAGTGATAAATTTAAAGTGTAGCATCTCATCTACGTTATCCATACAAATTGTCCAACACAAAAAATTACATCCAGTCCACAAAACCGAGCTATTAATCCAGTTTGAGGCTTTATTTGAAAGTAAAAAGGCAAGAGTAGTTCCTCACGTGTGTCTGTTTACATCCACACAGTACATGGATCGAGATGAAGCTGCAGCCAATCTTTTATGCTTTAAAAATCATGTATCTGAAGTATTGCACCACATTTCACAAATAATAATAACACAGTTTTGACATTTATCTAAACTAGAAGTGCAGAGCTCTGATCTTTTGAACACTTAAGAGTCTCAAAGCGAATGGTTTTACTGTAGACAGGAAACAGTAGACACGATCGCGCTCACAACTTTATATCCTGTGGTCTGCAGACAGATCCCGCTACAGTCTTTGCGATGGGAGATTTAAGTCTCATAAGATTGTCCTCGTGTCTGTGGTGTGCTCTTTTTGTCGCATGTAAAAAATTGTTTAAGACCCAAAAATCCTGTAGTGTGTGGCGGCCGTTAGTAAGTAAAACAATAAACTTCACCAAACTAGAAAAACAAATACTGTATATTTATAGTAAACACTGAAAAACAGTTGTTGATTTTGTATTGTAGCCTGCTGTACACACTTGAACCAAGGTAAAGTAAGACCACAACAGACTTACCAAGGAACCAAGGCCAACGCTGCACTAAAAGATGCATTATGTAACTCTTCTGGTCAAATACTTTCCTTCATGAAGATGTTATTTCTTTATCTGGAATGTTTCACAGTATGGTATCAAACCTTTCTATTTTTATGGAAATCAAACCGGACCAAGTTACAGGTCAAATCTGTGGAGAGGCGACCCTGTTCACAGTCAGAATACCTGCTTTTCTACCTATTTTTGAGCTATAAAACCACTGTAACTGAATAAATGTAAGGTAGATCTGTTTAATGTCATACTTGCCACGTTTACATGAGAGCTTTAATTCCTAGTAAAAGTTATTTATTTCTGAATAAAAATGTATTCCACTTTAAAAAGACCATGTAAACGCTTAACTTGTAATGAGAATGATTATTCGGAATTAAACTTAATTTAAAGTGGGTGGTTTATTCAGATTTTAAAGCCAAATTAATTTATTCCTTGATCATGAATGTGGGGAAGCTGGCCCAAGTGGTCAAAAATTATTTATTACATCCTTCACCGAGTAGTGGGCAAAATTAAATTACATATTTACAAAAATAACTGTGCTTAACTCAAGCAAAAGCAACAAAAAGTAACGAAACAAAAGAAAATACCCCACATGCACCCGGCTGCACTGATGGTGAACCCCCCATTGATTACACTGCCTCTCCTTTTATACAGCCCAGAGAGGAAGTCCCTCCCCCTGGGTTTACACCAAGTCGCAGGTAAAATTCTTGCACCTTCCTTGTTTTCCTGGTGTGCTACCTTTGTTTATCGTACGAGGCCTAAATCCCCCTTTAAACTAAACAGTGCTCCAACTCAACTAGAAACACTAAAACCCAAATTCTGAAAACCAATTTGATAAAACAAAAAGAACCAATTCTGAGGCTTCCCTCCACATGGTCTGGGCCAACACCTCCCCCTGAACCTATAAATATGGCTGCCGAAAGACACGCCTCCTCTTTGTTCCTAGACCATGTGGAGTCACAGGTAAGGTGGTAAGTTTAAACAAAAGGATATAACCAAATAAAATGAATTTAAAGTAACTGTGTGAATGTGATCAATTAAACTAAACAAAGACTAAATAAAACAAACCCGGGATAGTCTCATTTAGCTGTTTAGTTGATATAGATGTAAATGAAATAAAGTGAAAAGAAATGGGGACAAAGGCCCTCTTTGTCACAATGAAAATGTTTATTCTTCTTAAAAATAATTCCAGTCGCTCAGTGCATGCTTGTTGGCCCTTCTGACATGATCCTGACAATCTGTCTCCACCAGCCCTGGCTTCGGACTTTCATCCACTGCTCTTTGGATTTGTGAGCGGGATGCGGGAGTGGGCAGAGGTAGATCAGCCGTTGACTCAGTTTGTCTTCTTCCTCCCTTCTCCGACACTCTTCCCTTCTCCTCCTCAGCCGACAGACGTAAAGCGCGATGACAGAATTCTCGACGTGCTGCTTAATTATCATCAAAACGACTGCGAGAAAAGTTTGGATCGTGTTTGTGTCCATGGCGTAACGACAAACAGAGATGACAGAAAAGTCGGTAGCAGCTGAAGTGTGTGTTTTCTTCCCGTCGCCGTAAATATGTTCGTGTCCCTGTCCAATCAGAACCCTTCCCCAGTTCCAGACGTTGAGAGGAATAAAAAAAAGGCGATTTAATGTGTGTAAACCTCAATTCAGAATTATTATTTCCATGTAAACTCAAAGGACAATATTTTAATTCAGAGGTATTTAATCAGAACATTGTGAAACATTCTGGCATAGACCTATCCATAGAATAAAAAGCAGGTGACAGGGACCCTCCACCAGAAAAGTAACACAATGCACCTTTAGAAGAAACCAGAGTACATAACACTACACTCGCACTACTCAGGAACAGCACTCTGCACAGCCTTACGGATCCATATTATGGATTTTTCTTTCAGAGCTGGTGCTGTAACCTTTGATTCTGCAAAATTGACCATGCAAATACATAGATTTTCATAACCGCACGCAGTTTACTTTTTGGTCATTTGAGTTGGAGGGCTACAGAGGTTAAATGTTTCAGTAATAGACAGATGGCAATGGAACTTTTGATGTAAAAAAAAAAAAAGTAAATGTGAAAATATGTTGAAGCAAAATCATGACATTCCAAAAATGTTTCAGAATATTTTGTTACGTGTCAATGCAAGCTCAGGGTTAACGTGAGATATTTATTTTTGTCAACAGAAAGGGCGTCAAGTGCAGATTTATGATTTAGAAAATAAATCAGATTTTTTAAAAACTCAAAATAGTTTGGTGCATAATTAATTTTGCAAACAGTGGCGGGTAGCAGCTTTAATATGGAAATGAACTGGAAGTGGTGACTGATATGCATGACTAAAAATAGTAAATATATTTGGTATTTATTGTTCATGGTAAAACTAATAATCGCCCTTATAGTTATAAAAGTAAAATAAAGCAGCTATAGAATCCAAAATAACCAATTAGACGAGACATTTCTTCTCAGTCTGGTCATTTTTTGGTCACTAGAATAAAGTGTAATTGCACATCCGCTACATTAGTTGGCAGTGACGCTCTCATTGTCTCATTGAGTGTGCGCAGGGACTATACACGCAGCCCAAATTTCGGACTTCCGGTCATCGCGCAATGCATACTGGGAAGGGTCCATCGAAAAAGTCAAAGCCGATCTTTTCAAGTCTTTTGAACCATATCGCTTTTGTTTCTGGTTCTGATATTGTCATATTTTAGTTTTGGGATTCAGACATCGTAATTGTGTGGTTGTCGGATGTCCGAACAGCGGAAAACGGCTCGAGAAATGGGCTTCAGAAGTTTGTGAACTCCATACAAGCAAAAGGGAATCAGATGTGTGTGATTGCAAACCTCTGTTCAAACTGTTTCCCTTCCCAGCGGAATTGAAAAACAGTGAAAGGCGAAAGCGATAGGCAGGATTGATACACAGAAACGTTAGCCTTTGGATGCCCATGAAATCATCCTGAGTTTGCAACGTACATTTTTGGTAACAACATTCTAACATGACTTAAAGCTCAAGCGTCAATTTAGTGTAATATGGAACCTTTAACTCAGAATTTTGTTGTTTTATCTGTATATTACTCAGAATTATTAGTCACATAAAGTTTTTCACATCCTCTTACTTCTCTGAAAGCGGGTGCAGCAGAAGGCTCCCAGCGTCCCCAGCAGAATGGACAGAGCCAGGAACGCCCCCACAGCCACTCCGATGATCACAGCCAGCCTCAGCGTCTCTGAAACAAAAAGCACAAAAACAGAAGGTCAACACAGGGCAGAGTCTGATGGACGAAAACTAAATCATTAGAAATACTTACATTTCTCTCTTTATTATACATCAAATGAACAGTTTTTTTTTAAAGGTTTGTATAATCACAACCAAAGGAAGCAGAGAAATGGTTAAACTTCATGTTATATTCCAAAATATAGACTCGAAAATAACCACACTAACAATCTTTATAATCAGCAGTGTTAGTTATTACCATAGACAGTATTTAGAAGTGGACTAAGTGAGTGTAATGCCACCCATAGTGTTCAGCTCCAGTCAAATGAAGCTCATCGAGGCTTGTGTCCACGACCGCTTGTGTCCACGACCGCTTGTGTCCACGACCGCTTGTGTCCACGACCGCTTGTGTCCACGACCGCTTGTGTCCATGACTGCTTGTATCTACGACTGCTTGTGTCTACAACCGCTTGTGTCTACAACCGCTTGTGTCTGCTTGTATCTACGACTGCTTGTATCTACGATCGCTTGTGTCTACAACCGCTTGTGTCTACAACCGCTTGTGTCTACAACCGCTTGTGTCTACAACCGCTTGTGTCTACAACCGCTTGTGTCTGCTTGTATCTACGACCACTTGTGTCTGCTTGTATCTACGACTGCTTGTATCTACAACCGCTTGCGTCTGCTTGTATCTACGACTGCTTGTATCTACGACTGCTTGTATCTACGACTGCTTGTATCTACGACTGCTTGTATCTACAACCGCTTGCGTCTGCTTGTATCTACAACCGCTTGTGTCTACAACCGCTTGTGTCCGCTTGTATCTACGACTGCTTGTATCTACGACTGCTTGTATCTACGACCGCTTGTATCTACGACTGCTTGTATCTACGACTGCTTGTATCTACAACCGCTTGTGTCTGCTTGTATCTACGACCGCTTGTATCTACAACCGCTTGTGTCTGCTTGTATCTACGACCGCTTGTATCTACGACCGCTTGTGTCTGCTTGTGTCTACGACTGCTTGTGTCTGCTTGTATCTACGACCGCTTGTATCTACGACTGCTTGTATCTACGACCGCTTGTATCTACGACCGCTTGTATCTATGACCGCATGTATCCTCTTGTATCTATGACCGGTTGTATCTGCTTGTGTTCACGACTGCTTGTATCCACTTGTATCAGCTTGTATCCTCAACCACTTGTATCCACGACCGCTTGTATCTGTTTGTATCCGCGATCTTGTCCTTTCGGTCATTACCCAGAGTTCATGACCATAGGCGAGGGTAGGAATGTAGATTGACCGGTAAATCTAGAGCTTTGCCTTTTGACCACAACAGTCATACCTCACCGATCCGCCTGTCAGTCTCACAAGAGGAACTGGATTTTATTTACGGACAAATAGAAAAATAAAAAACTAAACAAAACACCAGGATCGTGTAGAGTGGGTTAATATGAACACTTTAATACCAAAATGAGGGGAGTGACGGCTGCAGTTACAGAGAGAGCGGCAAAGTTTTTTCAATATAAAGTGAATTGGAGCCAGAGTCGATGGAGCCATGAGCGTGAGCCACGTCCATACACATATACAAAGTGAATAGATTAATTTTGTTTTTAGTAGCTTTTACCCTACAGTGCATTATGTAAAGAGCATTTATGTTGCTAGGAATAAATTAAAATCAGGTACTGGCCCTTTAAGTGGTCGATATAAATCACTCTAGTTTTCCACTTCATCATTGGACCGTCTTTGAAACACTGACCCGACACGCTGGTCCACTACTCTCAATCTACTGTTTTACACTCTACTCTTCTATCCCTTTCTCTCTCGCTTTCCTCTACCTGTCTCTCCTCTCTCTTCTCTTTTCCCTCCCTTTCTTTCTCCTCTTTCCTTATTCTCCCCCACCTCTCTTTTCCGCTCTCTTTCCCCCCCCCTCTGTCTCACTTTCTATCGATCTCCTCTTTTCCTTCCCACTTTTTCTCTTCTTTCCCTCTCTCCCTCCTCCTCTCTTCCTATCTTTCATCTTTCTCTCTCTATCTGCCTGTCCTCTGTTCCATCCCCCCACTCTTCTTTTCCCTGTTCTCTTCCACATCTTTCTCTCCCTCTCTCCCCTCTTTTCTACCCCCCTCTCTCCCTCTATGTTTGCTTTTCCCTCCCTCTCTTTCTCTTTCTTTTCCTTCTCTTTCCTCCCTTCCCCCACCTCCTCTCTTTTCCCATTACTTTCCTCTCTCCCTCTCTCCCTACCTGTCTCATTTTCCATCTCTCTCCTCTCTTTTCCTTCCCTCTCTTCCTCCTCTTTCCCTACTCTTTCCTCTCTCCCTCCCTCTCTCTGTCTCTCCTCTCTTTTCCCTTCCTCTCTTTCTCTTCTTCCCCCACTCTTTGCTCTCTCCCTCCTCTTTCCTCTCTCTCTCCTTATCACTTTCATCTTTCTCTCTCTCCTCTCCCTCTCTTCTTTTCTCCAATCTCCCACCCCCATCCCTCTCTCCCTGCCTCTCTCCTTCTCTGTTCTTTCCCTCCCTCTCTTTCTCCTCTTTCTCTTCTTCCCCCACTCTTTGCTCTCTCCCTCCTCTCTTTCCTCTCTTTCTCCTTATCACTTTCATCTTTCTCTCTCTCCTCTCCCTCCTCTCTTCTTTTCTCCAATCCCCCCGTCCCTCTTTCCCTGCCTCTCTCCTTCTCTGTTCTTTCCCTCTCTCCCTCCCTTCCCCCGCCTTCTAACTCTCTTTTTTCCCTCTCTCTCTTTCTTTCTACCGCTTTCCCTTCTCTCCCTCCTCTCTCTCTCTCCTCCCTTCTCTATCTCTGGTCTCTCTTGCCCCCCCTCCGCTCCCTCTCTCCCTTTTGTCATTTGTTTTATTATTTATGGTCCGCGCTGTTTACTCTTTACAGGCTCCCAACAATTACCATCAACACGGCGGCCGGTGCCAAGCCGAGCCGAGCTCCGGTCCGTCCGTGCGACTCCGGCTCCGTCGTGATGGGAACGCCGGAGCGCCGGAGCTCTGGACGAGCGCCAACTGGAAATGGGGCGGCTCTAAGTGTTTCAGACAACGTGGTCAGGAGACATAATTCACCGACGCCGCTTTAAAGAGACGCGGCTCCTCTGACCTTCTTTAGAGATTGGGAAGTGATAAAAAAGAGAGAGAAGAAAGAGAGAGAGAGGGAGGGGGTGACAGTGAGAAAGAGGAGAGAGAGAGAAGACAGAGAGGGTGGGGATGATCGTGTGAAAGAGGAAAGAGAGAGGGAGAAAGAGGGAGAGAGGTGAGAGAGAGAAGGAAGGAGGGAGGGGAGAGAGGGGAAGAGAAAGAGAGGGCAGAGGTGACAGTGAGAAAAAGGAGAGAAAGAGAGAGGGAGTGACAGTGAGAAAGAGGAGAGAGAGAGGGAGGGAGGGGGGAGAGAGAGAGGGAGAGGAGGAGAGAGAGGGAGGGGAGTGACAGTGAGAACGAGGAGAGAGAGAGGGACGAAGAGAAATAGGGGAGAGAAGAGAGGAGAGGAGGAGAGAGAGAGAAAGAGAGGGGAGAGCAGAGAGAGAGAGGGAGGGAGGGGAAAGAGTGAGGGGGGTGACAGTGGAAAGAAGAGAAAGAGGGAGGGAGATAGAGAGAGAGAGATAGGGGAGAGAAGAGAGCGAGGGAGGGAAAAGAGAGAGGGCGGGGGTGACACTGAGAACGAGGAGAGATGGAGAGAGAGACAGGGAGGGAGGGGAGAGAGAAGGAGGGAGAGAGAGAGAGAAGAGAGAGGGAGGGAAGGAGCAAGCGAGAGGGAGAGAGGGAGGGAGAGGAGAGAAGAAAGAGAGGGGAAGGAGAGAGCGAGAGGTAGAGAGAGAGAGATAGAGAGAGGGGAAGGAGAGAGGGAGGGGAGAGAAGGAGAGAGAGAAAGAGCGAGGGTGGGGGTGACAGTGAGGAAGAAGACAGGGAGAGGAGAGAGGAAGAAGAGAGAGAGAGGGGGGATGGCAGTGAGAAAAAGGAGAGAGAGGTAGAGAGACAGAGGGAGGGAAAAGAAGGGAGAGAGGGGAGGGAAAGAAGGAGACTTTGACTTTTAACAATACATTTATTATATAAAAGAAAGAAGGAGAGGGAGGAGAGAGAGAGAGGGCGGGGGTGACAGTGAGAAAGAGGAGAGGGGGAGGGAAGGGAGAGGAGAGAGAGATAGAAGGAGGAAGGGGACAGAAGGGAGGGAGGGATAGAGAGAAAGAGGGAGGGGAGAGAAGAGAGAGGCAAAGGAAAAAGAGAGGGCAGGGGTGACAGTGAGAAAGAGGAGAGACAGAAAGGGAGAGGGAAGGAGGGAGAGGAGAGAAAGAGGGAGAGAAGAAAGCGAGAGAGAAGAGAGAGGAAGGAGAGAGATAGACAGAGAAGAGAAAGAAAGAGGGAGCGGAGAGAGAGAGGAGAGGGGAAGAGAGGAGGGAGGGAGAAGAAAGAGTGACAGAGAAGAGACGAAAAGAGGGAGACAGAGAAGCGAGAGAGGGAGGAGGAGAGAAAAGTCGAGTGCACTGCGAACCTCCTCGGAAAATATCTGACAAAATCAGACTTGTTGTGGAGGATAAACACATAAACACAGCGTGAACGGATCATGAGGCGCTTCTGATCACTGCGGTGAAATCAAACGCTCTTCAATCTACACGTTGGTCTGGAGAAACAAACACCTCCAGGGGAAATAAGACAAAATCGACTCTGGTTTTGTACAGTATAAGCAAGAGAAGCACTTTTAGAAGACCTAAAGCGATGGTTGCACAAAGTTGTAGAGTCCTTAAAGGTCTAGGGTGAAAGTAATTCCATATATTTACACAGTTATTTTCAGCAAAACTAAAACATTTCCGTTAAATATTACACTTCTTCTGTCATCCAAGTTGTGTAAGTAATTAAAATTCTATGTAGTGAGGATTTTTGCAGCTAAAATGGATGTCAAAAGCATCAAAAATCAAATAATAATCAATACAACAAGTACTATCAGGACTAAATACTCATTTGAGCAGGTATCGATACTAGGGGTGTAGCGATATCCAAGTCTCACGATACGATATTGTCACG